GTGGCGACTCTGTATCTGGCAAAGCAGTCCATGTTTGGCACTTCTTTTCAAAAATCTGTTTCTCAAAACGATCTGCCGAATTTGGACTCTTTGGTTCAGATTAAGACCCGTGACATAAATTGAGTCCGAACTGTAGTGAGGCCCACGGGCGCGTCTACACATAGTAATGTTAGTCTAATAATCGAAACTAGAGTATATAATGTAAATAAAAATCACATCATGATTAGTAGAGACTGATCTTTGATCGGGCGAGTGGGATGCTCAATTCATGACCTTCCCCTCTCGTACCTAAGTTCTCGAGCCGAGACACTTTGGTGATGACGGACTCGTGGCCTTCGGCACGACTCATGAATTTCCTAAATTTTCTAAAAATATTTAGGTGGCGAGTCTGTAATCTGGCAAAGCAGTCAATTTTTGGCATTTTTGATTCAAAATTGATTTTCCAAAAGATTTGTCAGATTTAGACTCTTTTGTGTTTATTTATTTCACATTATACTTGTGAGATCAGATTCAGAACCACGAGAGTCCAAACTATAGGGCTAGTCATATCCGAAAGGAGCACGAAAATTAAAGCTACAACTAAGTTGTAACGCCCTAAAATAAATAAAAATAATACCATCTCACAATAATTATCAAGCAATAGTACATTCTGAAATAAAGTGTCCATTCATAAGATTCAATTGTATAAACGGCGATACATGCAATTATACATTCACAAGCCCTAACCCTATATCTATAGCCTGTGCCATAAGCAAAAGATATGAATTAAAAGTTAGACAGATAATTAAATGCCCTAATAGCTACAAATTTCCAAGACGGTGCTTGGTAACAACAAAAGTGAGTTTAAACTCAATACAAATAAAGCTCTAAACTTGTGCAAAACAACTTGGTACCTAACCGCGGAGGCATATCATCAGCATTTGAAAATGGTTTTCCACATAGGGTAAATCTAAGCCCAGTGGAGATACTCTAACACAGTGTATGAATCTTAACAAAGCTATAAAGTGAATGCATATGTAATGCTCATGCCAAAACATTTTACATCTCTTTCCATAAGTATGCAATGCTGGGTTTACATCACAATTCATGAAATCGTTTCCGTTACAATAGAAAATAGGGCAGTGGATACAACTCTGGGAATCTCTAGGTACGTATCTACAAGTAGGCTATACAAGTACTACCAATTTCCATTTTTACCGGTACTAACCGGAAGGCTCGGTACCTAACCGCGTGAGTTTTTGGACTTTTTCACCAAGGACACACAAGCCAACAATAATACCACAACCACCCCTTGCCCAGATTCACCAAGGGATTCACCAATTTTTCTCAAAACAATATACATTTCCAATATGTTAAATATGCAACAATGCTCAATGCAAATGGATGAGAAATTAGTTTCAATTCTTTTAATTCTCATGCAATTTTTACAATAATCATAGCTATTTTCTACCGATAGCCCAAAACAGATATCTCTAAATAGATAGAGAATTTCTAATAAAGATAAACTTTTCAAAATTTTAAGATGGGAGTGATAATGCATATCTAACTCCACCACCACCATCATCATCATCATTCCAATTCCATAATGCTCAACCTCATTTCCATTTCCTTTCTACAAAATCAAATATTCACATTTTTGGGCAAAATATCCTTTCTTTAAATAAAAAAAAAAAACAATGCCAAGGATAAAAATCCACAATTTTATCACAACTCAACCATATTAACAAATCCACAATTATATTCAAGAACCCCTTTTGAAAACCCCTCTTTTAAAATTTAAACCAAAACCTTAGATTTTGTCCAAAATCCCCAAATCGCAACATTATTTAGAAAATCAAATAACTAAGTTAAAAACCATACAAAAAAAGTGGAGAAATCCCTACCTCGAAGCCAGAAGGCAATAGAGAGGGTGAAAAAACCTCGACGAAGCCAAAAACCAACTTTGTTCTGATTAAAACGAAGTTCTAGATGAGCTCTACCTTTTTATCAAAGGGACTAAGGTGTAAAGATTAATAGATTGAGAGTATTTGGAGGTTGAAGATGCGTTTTAGAGAGAGGTCTAGATATAGGTTTTTGAAATGTTTTAAAGAGAGAGATATGAAAAAGTGACTTAAAAGTGGCTACTACAAATTGATATACGCGCAGACTACTCAAGCGACCAAAAGATCGGTCAAGCGACCAAACATGAAAAGTAAGACCGCGTGAGCGAACAAAGTTACCGCTCAAGCACACAATGACATGCTCCCAAAGGTTTTGCAGACAAAGGCTAACTGCTTGAGCGCAAGAAAGACTGCATGAGCCAAGATCGCTTGAGCGAGAAAAACACCCTCTTATTACTTTACAAGCCTACAAAAGTACTAAGAGTTCCCAAGGATCGCTCGAGCATAAGAAGCACTGCTCGAGCCAAGACTGCTCAAGCACAAGAAATACTGCTAGAGCGAGAAAAGCATCCTCCCAGTACTTTTGTAGGACTGCAAAAGTATTAAGAGTTCTTAAAGGTGCTCAAGCACAAGAAGGACCGCTTGAATAAAACCTGGGCAAAGACTCTTTTTGAAAAATGAACTCCCAACCTATTTCAAATGCAACCACAATACTCAAATAACCCAATTCAACAAGGCATAAGATAAAAAAGGATATAAACAACTAAGTAAAGCAAGGAATCCCGATCCAAAACAATAAATGGGTCGGGTCTAAATTAGAATCATTATAACTCTACCACCAATAGGTGTCTCAACCAAAAGAAGAGACTGCAACATTTCAAACTCTAAACCTAAGGCAAATGCAAAAGAAGACAATATGAATGAATAAGATGCACCAGTATCAATCAACATGTTGGCAATAGAGTTGAACAATAAAATGTTACCTCTCACTATGGAAGGTGTTGGATAACTTATCCCGCGTGGTAACAGCATACACACACCCTGAAGGCCTCTGCTCTACCTGTTCACCCCTCAGAGCATAGGTCTGGTACATGGATTAAGTTGACATGGCTCCTTGATTGGCCCTTGAGGCTTGTGCTGACTGTGCTAGTTGATGGCTCTGTGTTTGCCGCAAACCAGATGCACCAAATGTGCCATTACATTGAGGGCAAAACTTCCACAAATGCCCTAACTCCCCACACTGATAACAGGCAGGCGGCTGACATCTCCCTTGACTCTAGCTCTGAGGATAAGCCAAAGGTGGTGCAGACTATTGCCCTCCTTCCCTCTATGGGCAAATTGAAGACATGTGGCCCAACTGATCACATTTGAAACAGGTGAACCTACCTTGGTTACCTCTCATTGAACCCAAACTTGACACGGGAAAGGTGGATCTAAACTGTGTAGCCTGGAACTATTGTGGGATGGAACCCCTTTGCTGTTTGTTGTCCCTAGTGTCCTTGTAAATGTCTTGGGATCTCTGCCTATAGGCCCTCATCTGCTTCTCTTCTGTTTGGATCACAGTCTCTAAGTGAGCCACCGACTCCACAAGATAGTCATAATCTTGAATCATTGACATGACCACCTTGAAAAGGAGCTCAGTTCTCAACCTCTTCTCAAACTTGATATAACAGCGTTCTTCCGTCGCTGCAAGTTCTGGTGCAAACTTCGATAAACTAGTGAAAGCCACCTCAAACTTGGTTATTGGCGTGTTTAGCTGCTTGAGCTTCATAAACTACTCCCTTAATTTCTCCCTAACAGTTGGTGGTAAAAACTTATCGTGGAAGGCATTGAGAAAAGCTTCCTAAGTGACCCCAATATGCCATCGTTCGTACTTCCACCACTGACCCACGTCTCTCTTCAGCTGGAAGGATACCAAGGTCACCCTCAAACCATTGTCCTTGAAGCCAAGTATCTCGAATGTCTTTACCATCTGTTCAAGCCATCGTCAGACTTGAGTTGCTCCTTTGGATCCTCTAAAAACTTGTCCAGATTCGACCGGAACAACTCCCTCTTCAGAAATGATGGCCATGTTTCTACAACATGGGCTTGGATTTAATTCTCAGCCCTGAGAATGTCCATGGATTCCTGCAATCTCTGGCCATTTTGTGGGCTAAGGCGCCCATGGCTTGCTGACATGCTGGCTCAGCCACTTTGGCCTAACCAACTCCATCCTCTTCCGTTGGAATTTCTTCCCATATCGGCACCTCTTGCCACTAAGACCTACCACGCCTATCACCACCTCGTCATCGTCCTTACATTTTAATAAAGATAACACAATAGTCTAGTACATTTACAAATGTATCGAAGCTAACTCACTCACGTCTTTATACAGTGGACAACAATTAATTTATTCCACGTAAGAACCAAATCACGTAATCACAAACGAATTTCCTTTCCAGATAATTAATTATTCTGTGATGTTACCACAGTTCCAATTAGAACAAGCAGTGATAAAGTGCTTTTCTATTAGGACAGATGATGAAATTGAATTGATTGAAGGTGGAGAAGAGGGGTGAGGAAGAAGAGTTTGATGAAGTGACTATGGCAGATGATGATGAAGAGGATGACTCTGATATTGACCTTGGAGATGATGAAGATTGACTAATGAAGAAATGAAGGCTTTTTGGAATTTTTAAATTTGTATTTTTGACACAAGTTACAAGTACAGATTAGAGTTTTGAAAAGTTTAGAACTTGTTAAGTTGTGAATCTTATTCGTGATCATATATTCATAGAATCATATTATAATGAATGTGGATTGCCATACATATATGATGTGATGTGAATTTACATAAATTACATCATAAATGCACAATATAATATAGGATCATAGATCACGGTGGGGCTCAGACCCACATCTCTTGCCATAGAAGCGTCTTACCTGTTTAGACCACGCAATCATCATGTAAAATAACATTTTCATTAATTTAAGTCTAAATATTTCATGTTTATAATATCTAAGTGTATAAATATGTTTTTTTTATGTAATTTAGAAAAAGTGACTGAATCTTTACGATTCATGATTCGATTCGATTCATGGCCATTTCGATTCACGATTCAAATCTCGATTTTAACAACTATGGTGTTTGCCTATAATTCTAGAACAAAAAGGCTGATGATATTTGTTGTCACGGTGACTATCTGTGATCTGGCTGCTGAGAACATTTTGTGGACTAAGCTGTTTGCTAGTTAATATGTTTACTTTTTCTTTTATTGGATGATCTATGGATTCAATGTATGAAGCAAAATTGGGCTAAAATAGGTTTCGTGATTTTGCGCTGGAATTCTAGTGGGCTGATTTTTCAGCATGCACATTCACTGGAATTGGTGCCTAACCAAACCAAAGCAAACTAACAATTGTTTCCTAATCAAGTGGGGTTTAGCTACATGAACCCTTTTTTGCCATTTTGCTTTTCAAGGGCTATATATATGCTCGCTCAAATCAAATAAAAATATATATTTTTTGTTGCTACCACAACCCATTCCCATGTCGTTATTGTCTTATTATATACATTGTGCATTGAGTTTGGGGGGTAATTTTCAACCTCAGACGTGTAAAACCATGACGCAGGTTGTTGCAATGTGAGTGAGTGGCATCCACATCAGGGATTTTGTTTTTACTGTTGTTCACTATCTTGTAAAGTGAATAAAAGACCAAAAGGAGAAGAAAAAAAAGAAAAAGAAAAGATTGAATCAGATGTTCTGCTATCATTTTATCTACTTTTATTAGCTGAATTGATTCTAGGAAAAAAAAAAGTTATATGTTCCAAATGAATTTGTACCAATCTTTTAGGAATCATATGACACTGTAACTCTCTCTCTCTCTCTCGTGCGTGTGCTTGTTTGTGTGTTTCCCACATTCCCTGTTGTATAAAAAGTTTACTGAGAAATCATGTATTCTGTATTGGACTGTCTTCTTTTGATGATTGTTTGATACTAGTTTAAGTCTCCTTTTTTCTTCATCTTGCTGTTCTGGGGAAGAGTTATCATTCCTTTCTGTTTCTGATGTATGTGTATATGCCTGCATCAGGATGCAACGTAAGAAGGGCCAGTTCACTTCTGCCAAGAAGTGTGAGGAGTCTGCTAGCTACAATACTGGTGAGGATTCAGGACAAGATGATAGCCCACCAGAAACTATGTGAGTTTTGTGCAACCTTGAAGAGTTCTATTCTTTGTTGAAGCACTACTACTTATTGGCCTATAATGGGCTAATTTTATTTTACATCTTGCATGTATTGTTTTATTTCTTCCCCTTTGCCTTGGTTGTTGAGTACCAGACATTTTTGTTGGCTAATTTCTTGGTATTGCAGTTTTCACATCTTCCTTAAATGGAACTTTTTGATTGATTTCTTTTATTATTGCTAGATGCACTCATTGTGGCACTAGTTCAAAGTCCACTCCAATGATGCGCCGGGGGCCAGATGGTCCAAGGACACTTTGCAATGCATGTGGGCTGTTCTGGGCAAATAAGGTTGGTATCTCCACTTGTGATATAGAAACCATTTAGTTTTTTCTTCACTCTTCAGTCTTGGTTTTTACACGTACGTCAACACAACAATGCTTGTCATGTTATGCTTGAGAAAAATCTGTCTGTTGGTTCTGTTGAGAGTCTTGAGACATTTACCAGAGAGTTGTAAGGTCCATAATTAATGCCTTCACTGCCTCTGAAGAAGATTATGGCATTCTGGCATCTTGAGTTGTCTATTTAGTTTTGAAGTGTTTGAGCCATTTTTTCTTTCATGAGTCATCCCGTAAAGGGGAAAAACATCTTGAAGCTTTTGAACCCACTCTTTGTGTTGACCCGTCGGAGTTCAATGTGTTGAAGGTTGGTCCTACTAGGTTGCATTTATTTTAGAGGCTACTTACCATAAACTAATGGTTTAGAACTGCTGACATGCCACTTTGAAATTTATGCTCCTGCTTGGTTCAATATGATGGAGTTTAGAAGTTCTTTTCTTATCCACATGGAAAACCTGTGTGTAAACCATAGGATTTGTTTTTGGGGAATTCATTGAATAGTTGGAGAATAGAGTTGGATGGAGCAGATTAGATGACGTTACAGAAGGGGCATTATATGAATAGATCACTGTGAAGTGTGAACACCAAAACAATTAGCAGTTACTTATGTACTATGTAATATTTTTTGCAAGCAAACCTCACTGCTACCTTGGTCCTGCGTTTTACTTTCCTTGCAATTCAAGCTCTAAGCATGTCTAGTGAAGTTTGATAATAATTAATGGAGATTGCTTTGAGGTGATAAGTGCTTCCTTTCGAGCACCTTTGTGGAGCAGGTAGTTTTTCAAAAAATAAAAATAAAAATTCTTAAGCAAAAGGGAAGGAAAGAACTCCAAGGCGGGGTGGTTTGCCTGAGTTTGCGAAGAAGGAAGTTGGTTTAACACGACTGACTGTAAACCATGAGAATAGGCTTTCTAAGAAGCATGGAAACTTCTAATAAGATAATGTGTTGTTCGACACTGTGTCTGAGATAACAACACGACACGACACTCATCAGACACTTCTAAAGACTTAGACACATGAAACTCATTACAAGTTTAAATAAAACAACTTTGAATTCGACGATAAAACTAGATCTAAATTTAGACCTAATTTTCTCCTTTAGGCTTCAAAAATTATTATTTATATACATGACATGGTAATTATTATCCTTGTATGTATGACATGTAATAAATATATAAAATAATATATAATAACCACTTTTCAAATTAAATTTAGAAAATAAATTGGCTAATTGAATTTTATTAATTAAAACATCTTTGTTAGGCAATTTCTAACCATATTTTATGGTCTTTTTGTTTAAAACTCTATAATCTATTACCATAAGAGATTTTCCTCTTAATTTTTCTGCATGATTCATTGCCATCAATACAAGACTCGAATGAGAACTTTTACTTGGTCGTATTAACCCTTGTTTTAATAAGCCAAGCTTATTTATTTATTTATTATTTATTATTATTATTTTTAATGGGTTTTTCATTGACTACATAGTTTGGATTCTCAAGAACTATTTTTTCCCAATACTTGTCTTTTTCCCATAATTTTAGTGGGTTGTCACTAAAATTATTTTCTAGCATTTTCTTAATATTATCTAATTTGGAATATATTCTCCCTGTTTGCCTTGATAGTGATTTGTGATATCAGTGATCTATTGTTCATCTTCTTCGTCACTATCACTTTTATATTAACGTGTTGTTTTCACTATTAATTTTATCTTCAAATAGTTGTTACCAAGTTTTTTTTTTTTGATTATCGTCAATTGTTTTAAGCATACCATGCTAGGCCGTGTGAAGAGGTTCAATTTGTGTTAATAAATTTGATTTTGTAATTTTAACAAGGTTAAAACCAAATTTACATTTTCGAGGTGCATATTATAGCAATGGAATTTCATGCATTTTAAGGGCAATATATGATTGATCTTTGTAACGCCCCAAAATTAAAGACAATAAATCATCCATAATATTAATAAATGACAACGATGTATAAATATAGTTTTCTGAAATAAGTATCCTTACATTTCATATGATTCCGTAATACAAAAGGTAGCACATGCAGTTATACATTCACAAGTCTTAACTTTGAATTTATAGCATGTGTTACAAGTTAAAGATATGAAATAAGAGTTAAACAAATAAAAAATGCCCTAAAGGCTCATAATTTCCCTAGACAATGCTTTGTTACAACAAAAATGAGTTTTAAACTCACTACATATAAAGCCCTAGGCTTGTACAAAATAATTACAACTAGTAATGAAAAATGAAGCTCTTGCTCCAAGTCCTCCCTAGCTATTGCCTTGGCGGAGGCATATCATCAGCACCCGAAAATGGTTTCCTATATAGGGTGAGCCAAAGCGCAGTAGAGAAACTACAACACAGTTTATGAATCTTGACAAAGTTATAAGGTGAATGCATATGCAATGCTCGTGCCAAAACATTTTCATTTCTCTTTCCAAAATCGTGTAATGCCAAGATTATATCACAATTCATGATATCATTTCCTTTAAAATAGAAAACAGGGCAATGAATACAACACTGCGAATCTCTAGGACGTGTCTGAATGTAGGCTACAAGTACTACCAAATTCTCATTTTTAATCAGAAGGCTCGACACCTAACCGCGTGGGTTTCTGGACTTTCACCAAGGACACACAGGCCAACTTAATACTATAACTATCCTCCTACCCAGATTCACCAAGGTATTCACCCCCTTTTTCTCAAAACAACAATATTTTCAATGAGTTAAATATGAAAAGTAGTTTCAGTTCTCCTAATTCTCATGCAATTCTACAACAATCATAACTATCCTCCACCGATAGCCCAAAATAGATATCTTTACACAAATAAATAATTTTCTTAAAGATAAACTTTCTAAATTCCAAGATGTGAGTGGTAATACATATCCAACTCCACCATCCTCATCAATATCAACCCAATTTCACATTTCCAACATCAATTCCAATTATTTATACAAAATCAACATTTGAGATATTTTGGGCAAAAATCCCTTTTTCTTCTACAATCAATTCCAATTATCCAAACCAACCATTTTATCACAACTCCACCTCATTTCCAATCCCACAATCATTTTCAAGAATCCATTTGAAAACCCATCTTTTGAATTTCAAACCAAAACCATAGGTTTGTTCAAAAATCCCTAAATCACAATATTATTTTAGAAATAGCAAATAGCTAAGTTAAAAGTCATAAGAAACTGTGGAGAATCTCTACCTCGAGCTTAGAAGACAAAAGAAGGAATTGAGAAACTTCGACAACGTCCAAATCCAACTTTGCTCTGATCAAAATGAAGCTCTTGGAGTGTTCCACCTTTTTATCAAAGGGACACGAGTGAAGAAATCAATGGATCTCGGTGTATTTGTTGAGAGAATGTGAGTTTTAGAGAGAAGGGCTCTAGATTTAGGGTTCTTAGAAAGTTTAGAGAGAGAGGGCTATGAAAAAGTGAGCCAAAAAGGTGACTTTATAGATTAATATACGCTCATACTGCTCAAGTGCAAAAAGTGTTGCTCGAGCGACCAGACACAATAAGTGAAACCGTTGGAGTGAAGAAGTTTACCGCTCGAGTGAAGAATACAAATTTCCAGAAGATTTACAGACAGAGGACCATCGCTCGAGCCTTGAGCTCAAAAAGGGCTGCTCGAGTGCAGAATGCCAACTCCCAATATCTTTGCAGGCTTGCAAAAGTACTGAGAGTTCTCAAAGACTGCTCGAACGTAAAAAGTATCGCTCAAGCGAAGAAGCCAAAATCTGGGTAGGAACCATTTTGAAAAACTAACTCCCTGACCTATTCCAAACGCAACCAAGACACTCCAATAGCCAAACTCAATGAGGAATAGGGAGAAATAAGAGATGGACAATCGGATAAGACAGTAAAACTCGGATCCAAAACATCAAATGGATCGGGTCTAAATCAGAATCACTATAACCTCTCCATCTTAAGGAATTTTGTCCTTGAAAATAAAATCAAACAACAAAACCATGTTTAAACCAATTACAACTATGATAATAAATCAAGTTCATCACCATGACCCATTCACTGGTCATTCATTCTCATCACCACGATAAACACGTGCTCATTACAGAATATACAATTTACATTTCCAAACCATAGACAACGTTTATATTGTCTTAAAGTAACAAAATTTTTAATACATATTCAAACATCAACAAATAAGTCTGGATACTTTTCATGGACTTCCAACTTACGCTCCTAAGTTGCTTCCTCAATCTCGTGATGTCTCCACAACACCTTTACCAAAGGAATTGTCTTGCCACGCAAGACTTTGTCTCGAGTATCTAAAACTCTAACAAGTCTTTCCTCATATGAGACATCCTCATCTACTTCTAGCTCGGTCCAATCCAACACATGTGATGGATCCGACTCATACTTCCGGCGCATACAAATATGAAACATGTTATGAACCCCAGAAAGCAGTGGCGGCAATGCCAAACGATAAGCTACCTCTCCAATCTGCTCTAGGAACTCAAAAGGCCCAATAAATCTAGGAGACAACTTCCCACTCTTCCCAAACCTCATCAAACCCCGTCTAAGTGATATTTTAAAAAAGACGTGATCTTCCACCTCAAATGATAACGGTCTCCTTCTACGATTAGCATAGCTATTCTGGCGACTCTAAGTTGTAACCAACTCTTACAAATAAGCGCAACCTTCTTCGTCGTTTCTCGGACTAACTCAGGACCAATCATAGGTGCATCACCCACCTCAGCCCAACACACAGGAGATCTATAAGGCTGGACATACAAGGCCTCAAAGGGTGCCATGCCAATGCTCGCCTGAAAGTTATTGTTGGAAAACTCCACTAAGAGCAAGTGCCTCTCCGATGACCCCTTAAAGTCAATAACACAACCCTGAAGCATATCCTCAAGGATCTGAATGGTATGCTCTGACTACCCATTAGTTTGAGGATGATAAGCAGTGCTAAAAGTCAACTTAGTGCCCAAGGCATTCTGTAGGCTTTGCCACAATCGAGCTG